AGGCAAGATCACTGAGTTTAAGGCCAGCCTGAACTACATAGCGAGACTCTGTCTCAAAAAGATAAATACAAAATAGTTCTTCTGATGATGCCATACAGTGGAAGAATTGATCAGGCTGAGACCAGCATCAACCTCGAGACAATGCAAATAACTTGCTGAGGTTCAGGGCCCCCCCAAAATTCATCATATGGCACCAAGAAATATGTGGACACTTCCTCTGTAACACAGGACTAGCACACCACTCTATCAGTGGCTGTCTATGCTATGAATCAATTTACTAGATGGCAGACTCTGAGAACCTCCTGTCCTTATATAAAGCACGGGGAGGGGGAAGAAGTTAGTGCTGGCAATACAACTTTACTTTATTTATCATTATTATTCTTACTTCTATTTTCTTTTCTTTTCTTTTTCTTTTTTTGAGACAGGGTCCTGCTACATAGTTCAGGATGGTCTCATACTTAATAGTGATACTCCTGCTTCAGCTTCCTGAGTGCTGGGATTACATGCTTGGCTACGACTTCACTTTAAGAGTGACTGATTATAACTTCAATGTCTTGCTTTCCCATTCCCAGTGACAGCTTTTTCAGTCCAGTAAATTTCTCTTATGCACTTTTCTGGAAGACACATTCATAAGCTCCTGTCTTCTTTTTAAGATGTATCTTGGGGTAAAAAAAAATCCTACACAGGATCAGTATTGTGCATTTGATGCCTGTGTATATATGCACCTTCTCACAGGCATATCTACATTATTTATGTGTATGTGCATATTTCTGCATACTGTGAAGCCTGGTATGAAGTTTTTACACCTTATACTTTTATATACTTTATATTTTTATGGTTAGTGACTCAACTCAAGGCTATAAAATGGCAAGGCTCTAATCAGCTTTGTTTACAGTAGCAATTTGTCTGAAGTCTTTGGAGTTATATGATAAATTGCTATTTTATATTAGGTATATTTCTTAAAGCAACTTGAGATTTTGGCACCCCGATTCCAATCAGAATTACCAAAGCAAAAAGTCACTCATTTCCACAGCACTCTCAGTGGGATCATATTGTTTGTAGTGAAAAATAATTAACATGTTTGATTCTCTTAAAACTCCGTAAGATGTGAACTTTAGTGTCACAATTAGAGTTGAAACAACTGCAAACAATGTCCAGGATCTCACAAGTTTCACATCATTCTGAGTTGTATTCTTAAAGCTCACCAAACTGTTACATTAAAAACAACACACAAAAAAACTCTCATTAAACAAACACTATAGGCAGATGGGTCTGGGGATACAGTGGTGAGCAAGAAAAGCAGGATCCCTGCTTTCATGAAATGCATAATGAAAAATCCTGCTGCATGATGGACATTTGCTTTCTTTGGGACAGCAAGTTACTTTTTAGACTTTGTACCTTATAGTAATAAGGGTAACAGGAGCTGGAGTTATCTATTAAGCTCTGGGTAAATTATTTGGACCCCCTAGTTTAGGAACTCCTTTTATCCATTATTCTACCCAGCAACAGAGATCTAGTTTTGTTTTTATTCTATTTTCCAACTCACAGTGATCCTCCTGCCTCAGCCTCCCTGAGTGCTGGGATTACAGGCATGTGCCACCACACCTAGCTATTTTTAGGCTTTTTGAGACAGGGTTTTGCTGTGTTTATTTAGGCTGGCTTCAAACTTGCCATGTAGCTGGGCATCGTGGCACATACCTGTGATCCCAGCACTCAAGCTAAGGTAGGATAGCTGTGAGTTTGAGGCCAGCCTTGGCTACATAGTAAGTTCAAAGCCAGCCTGAACTACATAGTAAGACAGCCTCAAACAAAGCTAAACAAACAAAACAGTTTCCTAGGTAGCTCAAGATAGCCTTGAACTCTCTTCTACCTTCTCTTCCTACCTCATCCTTTCAGGTGGTGGGATTACAGGCATGCATCACAGCACCCAGCTCAGATGTAGCTGTTTACTTTGTAACACTAAGAATTCAACCCAGGGCCTTCATAATGAGCCACATCTCCAGCCTTTTAAAAATTTATTTTGAAGCAGGGTCAGTTACTAAATTGCCCAGGCTGGGTTTAATTTTGAAATACTCCTGCCTTAGCCTCCCAGAGTGCTGGGATTCAGGGGTCCACCACTATGCTGGGCTAACTGGCCATAGACAGAACCCGTCCATAGCTCCTTGACATCCTTAATTAGCTTGTGCTGCCAATCAGCTTTTACCTAGTAACTGACAGAATGATACTAAGGACACTCCTATTTAAAGAATTCAATGAGAACATTTGAATAGTTTGGTTTTTGGACAGGGTTTCTCTTTGGACTCTAGGATGGCCTGGAACTCATCTTTCTGCCACAGCCTCTTGAGTGCAGGATTTAGAGCAGGAGCCACCACACCCAGCTCTAGAGGGTCTGTCTCTTTAAGGGTAAAGGCTTGGTTCTTATTGTTTAATCTATTCCTTCATTCTGTCTACTCTATCACTGATAACATTATCATGTAACCCAGTGTATGTTAAATGAACTATAAAAAACACCTTAGAAACACAAGGAGTTTTCAGTGTGACCTGCAAGTCAAAGCTAATTCTAAATGACAAGGTGGAGAAGGAACTATGCTGGTTGTTTCCAACCTTTTCATGTCATCTTTTTGTGAGAGAATCGGTTACAATGAACCAGAAACCAAAGTTCTCAGACCATTCTCTTTTCAGTCTATTGCAATAACAGCGTTCAGTAAATGCCAACTTTAGCTAGGGAGGTGGAAGTAGAGACACAGTAAAAATAAGGTGTAATTATACAATTTTAAGATCAAAACCAGAAAATTACTGAGAAAAAAAGACATTCTTGAAGTTGGGCATGGTGCAACATACCTGCAATCCTAGCATTCAGGGGGGCGGGGCACTGAAGTAGGAGGATCACAAGTTCAAGACCAGCCTGGGCTACATAATGAGTTCAAGACCAGTCTGGGTTACAGAAGTTCAAGACTAGTCTGAGCTACATAGCAAGACCTGTTTTAAAACAATAAAAAGAGGGCATTCTTTTGTCCTTGTGCTTGCAAGGCAGGTGGTAGAACCACTGAGCTAAACCCCCACCTCTAGGGCTTTCTTAATATTAGAGCAACAGGTGTAAACTGGGTGGGCCCATGCTCTGCACACTACTAGGTAAGACCACCCTCCTTTGAAAATGAAGCCATTATCAGGCAATTTGCCTAGGAAAAACCATGGATATCCATCTAAGGTTATGGAAGATGAACAAAATTCATACTTGCCCAAACAAAGCAGTCATCTCTAAGAACTGCTATAACACATCCTAGCTATCTCCAAAATTGATATCGCTAACAATCACCGATCACTACAGCCCATAACATTATGTCATATTAATACTCTTAATAGTGTTGCACATTAGAACTCACCTTAGACTGATATCTGTTTTCACTAGAGGTATGTATAGACCATGGAGCAAGAGGGAGCTCCTGCCAGCCTAATACAGATGTACTACATAGCAGGAAGGTCCAAGTGGGAGAACTTCCAGGGATCAAGAACAAGAGCAGAGGTTTCAACGTGGAGTTTTCGGGAGAATCATTAAGTGGGCCACTGGCAACATCCAAGAACAGGCCCGTGCCCATGGCAAGCTGGCCTTGGAAAGCAGACCACAAGCAGGGCAGCAACGCGGTATTTGCTACATAAGTGCATCACTGGCTGCTGGGCAGGGGGTGAATTTGGGAAAAGCAGAGATAGTATAAGCAGTTAATAACATTAAATACTTTGAGCAGTTACAGAATTAAGTCAGGAATCTTGGAAATCATGTTATAGGAAGGCAGGTCAAAAATGCATTCAGCCAGGCGTGGTGGTGCACGCCTGTAATCCCAGCACTCTGGAGGCTGAGGCAGGAAGATCGCTGTGTGTTCGAGACCAGGCTGAGTTACATAGTGAGCTCCAAGTCAGTCTCAACTACATAGTGAGACCCTGTCTCAAAAAACCAAAAAAATAAAATAAAATAAAATTTAAAAAATGCATTCTAGATAACAATGGAAGGGGTAGAGGCTGTTCTCTGCCTAGGAAACAACTATGACCAAGTAGTCCAAATGAAGAAATCAAATCCCAGTTAAGAGCCTGTGCCTAGATGCCACCCCCTCAAAGCCTCATGCAGTCATGGGTAGTGCTTTTTCAGACATGGCTGGGTCTAGAGTGTGACTGACTCATGGTATAATGCTAAGATTAAGGGTGCTAGGATTTAATGGAGTACTATCTCCCCTAGGGGCAGGTACAATGTAAGGGACAGAAAGAGGCTTGCAGCTAGTCAGTTACTTCTTTGTCACTTGCTGGTTCACTGCTTTCTTGCTTTCTGCCTTCTGTCAGCCCTGCTTTGTCATGGACTGTTTGTCTTCTGCAACACCTCTCTGCTATGACACCCTCCCTTCCAGCCAGATGACTATGGACTGAAACCTTTACCAACTGGGAACCAAAACAAAGTTTTCCTCCTTTAACTTTGGGTGTCAGGTATTTTGTCTCAGCAATGAGAAAAGGTAACTAAGACACCAGGGACCACAAACACCCAGTTAGAGGTACAGTTAGAAATTGGTCAGCAATAGGACTTGAATGTTAAAAACTCACAAAGCACTTGCGCCAGGGATTTAGCTCAGTGGTGCTATGCCTGCCTCACATATGCAAAGTCCTGAGTTTCATCCCTGGTATCAGAAAAAAAAAAAAAAATCACAAAGTACAGATAATCTTGAACTTATTTTGCCTGTGTAACAACAGACACCCCCCACCCCCATTTTTTGGGTAGGAAATAAAAGGAAAGAAATGGCACAGAGGTTTCTAAGAAAAACAACAGAACAAGTCAGAAAAGATCTTATAAATGTTAGGCTGATTTATGAGCACTGCTCTGGGCAGTTACAGTTTGTTTACAATGAGGAGTTATCTAACTCTGAACACACTGTACATGGTAATTAGAAGTTGTCATGGCAAGAGAAAACCACAGCTGGCCTGCTGCAGCCAGCACAAAAACAAGAGACCAGGAGAAAATGTAGGAATGGAGGTGGGGTTTATTTTAAAAGAAACAACTCCTTAAGAAACAAGAAAAGAACATTCTATATTGGGAAGACATTAGGATACAAAATTACAAGTGTTTTAACTCTATCTAGTCCTGTCCCCAACTCCAAGAACAGAGTGGAAGGAGACAGTAGAAGCAAACAGGCAATTCTGTAAAAGTATGCTTAAAAACCCTAGAAATTTGATTAAAATCTAAACTTTTGCTTTAAAAAAATTTATATCAAAAGGCCTGTTTTAGTGACATGCTAGCCCCACCAGAAGAGAACTCCTGTACCTGTCAGTGACATGCTCAAGTTGACCAGCCAATGCACACTTCTAAACTCAGCTGTGGACAGGTATGTCTAAACTCAGCCACAAGGCTCAGGTGATGGCCAGGACTGTGTATCCACCTGCTAACTGTCCAGTGTCCTCCTTCTGCATAAGGGTGAGCAGGGTGGAGACAACCTTGTTAAGGAAGGACTAGGAGCCACATTACCCCTATCCAAAAGGAGATCCTTATTTCTGAATCCAACTTGGCACCCAGTGACCAGGATGATTTCCTCCTTTTAGAAAAAACCCCACACATATCCACATACCCATATATACTTTTTTTGTTTTTACATTTAAATATAAAAATACTACTCTGCTTTGTTATAAATGGAGGGCCAAGCGGTTAAGGACTTTTTCTTTGAAGGTAGGGATATCCATCAGTTTACTCAGCTTTGTGTTCATAGGGGTGGGGAGTGGAGCGCTAATAGGGGAGCATTGTAGCAAGAAACCGAGGAAGGGCAATCCTCCCTGATCCTCAACTACATTTCCTTCTCTAATTTCTACTTATACCTTCGAAAATAGAGCTTCCCATCAAGAGAACCTCACTTAACCCATATCAGGTCTTTCCCCTTTCAGCTACCCTGAAGAATAAAAATCTCTTCCTCCCCTCTGCTGCTTCGCAAACACATCTGCTCCATCTGGATAGCTACACCTACTGAACAGGCACACTTGAGGGGGAGAGTGGTTAGTTTCCCTATCCGTGTCCCAACTAATGCATTAGAAAGTTTCCGTGATAGGGACAGAGCGGGTGGGTGAGAACCCGACCCCTCTTATCCTGGCCAAAGAAAGCAAAATTAACTGAGCACGAGGAGTAAAAAGACCTTGATATTACACCCTTTGAGTTACAATGGGGACAAGTACGACAACTGGAAGACGGGGAAGAGCTGGAGGAAGGCAAAGAACTAGGAGGGGCTCGATGGCTGCACGTCTAGTCCACTTAGTTTTTGTATTGGAAGGGCTCATCGCCAGTCTCATTGAGAAGACATGTGCGGATGAGGGCTTCTGTCACAGCAAAGGGGTCACAATTGGCAGAAGGGCGACGGTCTTCAAAGTAACCCTTCTTCTCCTGGCCAACAGTCCGAGGAATGCGGATGCTGGCACCACGGTTGGCTACACCAGCAGAAAAGTCGTTGATGTTGGAGGTCTCATGGAATCCAGTTAGGCGCCGGGCATTGTCCAGGCCCCCCTTGGGATCATAGGCTCGAATGTGGTACTGGTGCCGCTTGCTTAGTTTCTCGATGGCCTCCTCAATGTACCTACAGGAACAGAAAAAAGGGTGTGACCGTGTGACCCTGTTACCAAGAAATCTCTTGCTCTTTAGGGATAGGAACAGGTATGGATTCAAGACAGTTCACTAAATTATGGCCCTAACACCACTAACTATTCCACAAGGAAAATGACTTTGCCTTGTTACCCGTGTGTCCCAGGGCTCAGAATTATGCCCGACATGTGGTCCAAACTCATCATTCATTGACTGAAAAGAGCTGAACAGATCCTGTCAACTTTTCCCTCTCATTGTCTTCCAGTCTATTCCTAGAGAATCATTTGGCACTTTTGGTGGGGGGGTTAAGATAGCGTCTCACTATGTAGTTCAGCCTGGCCTTGAACTTATTATGTAGCCCAGGCTGGCCTCAAACTCATGGTAATTTCCTGACTCAGCCTCCTGAATACTGAGATTACAGGCATATACCACCATGCCCAGTTCTTTAGGCACTTTTCAAAGGGAAACAAAATAGCAGTTTAAGCCAGGCAAGAGCTAAGGCACACTTAGCCTGAGTGGGGGAAAAAAAACCCAGCAAATATCCCCAATAGACATGGCAAGTCATCTTGGAGAGGACACTGTGCAGACTGATGCTCCCTTCCTGAGGTTCCCAGTGGAAGAAAGCTGGCCCTAGTAGCATGTACTCACTTCAGACCATTCTCTTCCCTCATGGCTTTCGTGCTGAAGTTAGTGTGGCAGCCTGCACCATTCCAGTTCCCTGGAATGGGCTTAGGATCAAAGGTTGCTATCACTCCAAAGTCTTCACATACGCGATGCAAGATGAAACGGGCCACCCACAGATGGTCTCCCATGGAGATTCCTTCACAGGGTCCTACTTGGAATTCCCACTAGAAAGAATAATATCAGCCTTTGTAATGAACCACTTACTTCAACCCTTTCTAGTTTGGGGCTGGGGAGCAGTGAATGGGCAGCCTTTGCTAGCCACCGTACCCCATTGTCTACCTATTCCTGAGGTCTTCAGAGGTGAAAAAGGTGGAGATCAGAGCTACTTACCTGGGCAGGCATGACTTCAGCGTTTGTCCCCGTAATCTTGACTCCTGCGTACAAGCAGGCCCGATAATGAGCCTCTACAATATCTCTGCCATAGGCTTTGTCTGCTCCCACACCGCAGTAATATGGACCTGCAGACATATCAAGACAAAGTGGTAAGCTGGGTGTGGTGACAAATGTTTGTAATCTTTGGATATGGGAGGCTGAGGCAGAGAGGTCAGCCTGAGCTACATCAGATCCCGTCTCAAAAAAAGGTAAAGTGGTAAAAGAATAAGGAAATCAGAAAATCCCTAAGCCAGAAGTCAGAAGGTCCTTAAAACTTGCTCTCCTGAGTAACTATCCTGGCTTTCACCTGCAGATGGGAGGATGAAAACTCGGGAGCTCCTCTTTGCCACAGTCTTAATGGAGCCAAAGGCTTCCTCTTCCTCCTTAATCCCTTTTCCTTACTTTTGTAAATGTTAACATTCACTTCTGGCTTTGAGTAATGTGAGGGCATGTTTTTGTTGTTATGATAGCCACTCTCATTTTGATTCTAGAGTTGCTCCCACATCTGGAGACAGCGACTTCCCTGGACAGTAAGACTCGAGGGAAGGGTTATCTTCCTCTCAATAGGACTTACCCTGGGGTCCAGGAAAGCCGTTGGAAGGCCAACCAAAGGGGTGGCCATCAGTCCCCATCAGAGTATATTCTTGCTCCATTCCAAACCAGGGGTGCTGGTTGCACACCATGTCCATTATCCGTTTGCAGGTGTGTCTTAAATTGGTCTCTAAAAAGAGTCAATATGCCATTAGTGTTGTAGAAGGACACATCTCTCACTCTGGGTGCTGATCAAAAATAGTCCTTGGGCTGGGGATTTAGCTCAGTGGTTCGGTGGCCTGCCTTGCAAGCGCAAGGACCCGAGTTCAATCCCTGGTGCCAAAAAAAAAAAAAAAAAAAAAAAAAGTCCCAAACTGACTCAGGGCAAAACTTTGTCCCATCACTTAAGTCAAGAAAACGGGAGGCACTACAACGTAACTGTACATTTACAGAGACTCTCTGAAAGACTTTAGTTATAATTAAACTCAGTTATAAGCAAATCACATGGGAGCTGATTCTGAACAAAGCAAGTGTTCACCTTATCTGCATGTTGGCCATCTCCCAAGTGCCAAATGCCAGGCACTTACACCCTCTATTCATAAGGCAGCTGCTTCTAGTTGTCAAACTTAGTCCCTAGTTTCTAAGCACTTAGAGCCAAATCTAATTTTTTATTGAGAATAATTTGTCCATTAGGATGCTTACATTCCTAGTGAGTCTAAGTGCTAAGTTATATAATATTGGCTGATACTGAGATGAGCTCAGCTAGAAACAATTTCCAACCTAGAAAAGAACTTCAAAAGGAAATTGAGCCTGTAACAACCTTGATGTAGGACTGGAAGTCTTCACTTCTACAGATGAGAAAACAAAGCTTAGAGGTCTTAGATTAAGTGACCTGTCCAGGTTATGGGGCAAGCAGAGCCAGGAAATTGTTGTTTGTCTTGGCTTCAGAGCCGAGGACCTTTAGAATATACCTTTTCAAAACAAAACCAATGAAGGTCCAGAGCCACTAAGTTTCATTGCCAGTATAGCAAGAGACTTACTTCACAGGACTTCTGCTGGGTTTAAGAAGCTAATTGCCGAAAACTGGAAATAGGCATGTCACTGCACAAAAGGAGGAACCCAAAGGTGCAGTTACTGCAAAACTCTGGGCCAACATAATTTCAGCCTACCAAGATGTTCATTCACATTTTAGTTAATGGATAGACAGAGGACCAATCTCCCAGAGTCCTGACAGTTCTGGGACAGTCTAGCCTTCCAATATCAATTTCAGAATACCTTATCCCTTCCTAGAATTCATGGACTGTGGGATCCAGACTCAACCTGTACATACCTGCAGGCTTCCGGTTATACTTGAAAACTTCACAGAACACCAGTTTATTGGGGTCTTTGCGGAAGGGGTCCCGAAACATGGCAACAGGGATAAGGTACATGTCACTGTTGGAGCCTTCAGACTGGAAAGTGCTAGACCCATCAAAATTCCACTCTGGCAACTCTGGGACAAGAAGAGGTGGGAGAATTAAATTAAAAATGTATAGGAACTCCTCAGGCAAGAATATAGTCAGCCCCCCTTACATTTCTATTATTATATACTTCAATGTCTGTACCTACTTGTCCCTACAATCCTTCCTGAATTCGAAGTAAGACCATTACCTAAGTTCCTTAAAGGAATAAATCACAACCACCACCTAAGAACATACTTTTTCTCCCTAGATGAGTCTATTATATTCCAGGTATGGATATCACCAGTGAGTCAGTTATTGCAAATGCTGAGATAAAGGGAAGATTCTGATTTCTTCTTCTCTCATCTCTCACTGCATCTACTGATGTTCTAGGTCAAATGGATGGTCCGATACCACTTAGGCCAGTTTGTCACTCCAGTTTACTGAGTTCTTAAAAGGCAGAGATTACTCTTAACTTGTATGAATGAGGCATGAACAATGTCAGCCACATAGCAAGTGCATGCACAATGCTGTAAATTATGGGCATTCACTCATTCACTCAAATGTGAGCATTACAAGGAAAGTAAGCTATCTGAAAGTAGGTAGGTGATGACATTTTCTCCTTGGGCCCTGGGGAGGTGGGACAACTCTAATATAGCAGCCTCTGAAAGGATACATAACTAGATAATTTAAGAACTTCTTAAAGTAGTCCTAATAAAAAGAAACAAATAGTCCCATTCACAAACCACTTTAAAGCATGTACTTTCATCCAGAATCCCAGTGATATGAATAAGGAACACGTACTTTGAGAATTCTGTAAACTAGAAATAGTATTTTTCCAGTTAGAGCAGTGGTTTTTAAACTGGGTTCCTGAAGCATGTTTTTAGGGCCAGTTGAACAGAGATGGTGAAGTCAGCAAAGACTAGCCCCCAACCCTCTCTACAAATCAGACTCAGACTCCATCTTTTTTTTTCTCAATACATTGGCTCACAGGCAAGATTCCATTTAAATAAAGGGTTCTTTTGTTGTTATGCTTTGAGGCTGTGCAGGAGTTTTACATTGACTGAACAAAGTCTGAAAAATCTTCCTTTAGAAAAGCTTTGCAAACAATGAAAAACGCAAATCTAGTGGCTCTCAGTGCTGGCCCAAAGCTACCCAATGCCTATGTTCAGTGCTGCTCCTACCGGCATATGCACCACTCCTACCCACTCTTACCTTCCACACACTTGGGCTCACAGTCCAGGGTACGGGTCTTGCAGCGCAGTCCTTCTCCAGTACCATCAATCCAGATATACATGGCCTGGACTTTGTCGCCCTGAGGCAGGGACATGTATACCTGCTTGATGCCTTTGTTCAAGTGGGAACTTGCTGAGGTGGCCATGGTGGAAGATGTTCTGAAGAGAAAAAATTAGCTTTATCAATATAGGCTCCAAACTTATGTCCTGTTGTAATGGCTTAAGAGGGACAACAGAATCTAAAAAGTGGGAACAGATCCTTCTCTTGGAAGTCAACACCGTGGTACTTTTATTCAGTCTTCTTTCAGGGGGCTTAAAATCTTGAGAGCAGGCAGTAAAAATCTGATAACCACTTTTTTTGGGGAGTGGGGGTACCCAGGACAGAACTCAGGACCTTGTGCTTGCAAGGAAGGCAAGGCGCCACTGAGCTAAATTCCCCACCTCTGTTATCACCATATTTTGAACAATTAAAGCAGGTAATTGCTAAGTACCAAGGTGCTGGTATAACTCATTTCTTTATAGCCTGAGGCTTAGAGGAAGTTCCTCAGCTACTGCAGAAAGGAAACCTCTCCCAAGCTAGAATACAAGTAAAATCCAGAAAAGATGGCCATAGTTTCTGTACTGAGCCTTCCTCTGGCCTTTTTCATTCTAATGGCGATTCACCTCTACTTCAAAAAGAAAAAGAATGATTTGAGGATGAAAAAAGGGGTTAAGGTAAAGATTTAATCAAAGGCTGACAGTTTCCTATTACCATTACAACGGTGGTAAAAATAGCTGATTCAAGTCAGTTTCAAAGGTCCACTCTGCAGTAATTTTCACTGGTGTGATATGAAGTTCTCACTTCAGAACACAAGATCAGACTCAAGTACCGGAATGACAACATTCTCTTAGGAGTCCATTAGAAAACCTCAAGCGGGAAATTCACACTTCTAATCAATAAGATTGGGATTTCAAAAGCTCTGAAACATGCTAAATAAAGACTGCAAGCAACAGCCAAAAACCTCTGAAAGAAGAGAATCTCTGAAGCCACAAAAACCAGCCTCAACAAAAGAGGAAACATCCCCCACCCTCTGTGGCCCAGCACAGCTGGAAAGGGAACATATTGTTCTCCTCCGATGACTTGGGCAACTTCTGAAGTACAGTGGCAATGTTTCTATGGGCAACCGTCCGTGTTTGCCCAGCTGAAAACAACTGCTTCTCCCAATCGCCTCACCCAAGGGGAAGGGAACCTCGCTGGTCAAATCCTATTACTGAACCCATACTACCTTTGCCTGGTGTCTAGCTACATTTGGTCAACAAAGTCCACCTTCAACCCCGGCCTTTTACAATCCATGAAATCTTCAGTGTCCACTGAAAGCTATCTCAACTACAGTATCAAACCACAGGTTGTGGATCTCTCGTTTTTTTCCCACGAGACATACTGGAAGCAAGCACACTACACCATGCACTGTAATCAACTGGTGCTGCCGCTACCGCGGTGCCTAGTTCATTCAGGTAGGGGAATGGAATTCGGAGTTCCCTGTGCCGGGTCCTCCTCTCAATTCCCTCACTCACCCCAGCCACAGAGAGTGAACCGTATTGCTAGCGTTGCCCTCTCTGGCTCTCCTCTTTTTATAGCCGTGTTCGTGTTCGTGCTTCTCGCTCTCGGGCTCTCGCTGGTCCAAACACTGAAGCTTTCCTGTTGAGCGCTTCGGAGTGGGGGACCCTGAGCGGTCGGACCAGGAGGCGCTGGAATTGGCAGACGGGTGGTTTAAACTCATAACCTTGATTTGCTGTTTCTCCCCGTAGTTGCCTGAGCAGGCTACAAAGGCCACGCAGTTGGGAGACTTCACGGCCCAAGAACTGGTGCAGTCTTCATCTTCGTTAGATGTTTTCTTCTCGGATTTGCGGCTGGGGGAGCATCCCCGCTTTCCGCCCCCGGGGGAGTTGGGAATATCCACCTTGAAAACTGTCCCTTCCCACCCAGTGTACTGAAGCCGGCGCCCCGCCCCTCGGGCCCTCGTGGAGTCTAGGCCTAGCTCAGGGGGCCACGCCCGCACCCCTCACGGCAGGCTGGCGGGGGCT